ACACACACACACACACACACACACACACACACACACACACACACACACACACACACACACACACAGAATAAGGCATTGGCTGGAAATTTAGCATTACAAATAATGGAAATTAACAGCAGGTCTGGCTTGCATGTCTGTATGGAAAGGGGCTGTTTTTTAATTAGAAGATGTAAGCAAACAAATATGTGCTTGTGTCGCCAAATGTGCATTGTGTGTCTGTATTCGTGTGTGTGCGTTTGGGGTCGATTCAGATGCGAATGCTTGTCGAGCCGTGAGGTAGATGTTTGCGGTTTAGGAGTGTCTGCTCAGCGGGAGCAGCAGATGACGAAGCCAGACATAGCTGGCCATGATGCTTCAAGATTTTCTATACTTTTTTACGCCACCACCTTCACCCTGGGATAAATGAAACAGTCCTTAGGAAGTTCTCTGCAGGGTGCCTTCACCTGAGCCCCGCGGGGGCAGGCCTCATGTTGTGAACCGCGGCGATCAGAGTCTTTTCAAGATGGCCCTCTTCGCTTCCTGACAGTTCCTCCTCTCCGGGCACCCAGCATGAAAATGAAGACTATTTAGGAGGCGCACAAGGAGGACGGTAAATGTCTCCTCTTGTCAATAGCACAGCCCAGGTCGGAGCGGTCCCTGGCTCTCAGAGATAACGTATCTATTCAACTTAAGATATCTTGCTTTAAAGACGTGCTCAACCATAAAATAGGCACCAGCAAGAGGCTTATACTGATCAAAACTGGGACAGCAGAGGCCAAGATATCCAAGCCTCCAGGTACTAAGTGAAATCAAAATCCAGACTGTGCTGTATATAACATATAAAATATATCAAATAAGTGCCTGCATGCTTTCTAATGACCAGCAAAAGTAAACCAATAAGTGTGTTCACTTGTTTTTATTGTAACAAAAATGAATAAATCTATAATAGTCATTATAAAAAAAATAAAATAATAACACTTAAAAATCGAAGCCAAGTTCTTTGAATGATGAGGAAAAAAACAACAACAGCTAAACATCGACCACTGACATGAGTCGGTGTCGTCTCGGTCGCCTAAAGACCCCAACAGTCAACGACGCTGATGACTTTTTAAAATTTGTTTTTACTGCACAGCTGCAACATATACACATATTTGCACGGCTTACAATGAATCAACCTGACGCAGAGGAGCAGGGCTTGTGACATTCAGCTGAAATGGGGGTAAATGGAGGAGATGTAGCAAAGGAAAGGGGGAAGAGTGCAGGATCCCCCGGTACTTGAGCAATTCTAAAAATAGAAACACTGGAGCAGATACACCGAATGGAAAAAAAGACATGAAAAGGGGAAGAGAAACTGCGAATATCCACTGTGTTGTAAAGCTGAATACCAGGAGTGATGTGTGCTGGCATCATGCGCCGATATAACTGACACCGCTGTTTATGAACTCTGTCTCGTACCGAACACGAAGCCGCTTCATTTCTCACTGACAGGTAATGTTACCCCTCATTTGGCCACCATCACTGGAGGGACTCCAGCTTTGAACGAGTCCTGTAGTCAGCAGATGTCACCTTATATATAATACCGAACGTGTCTCGCATGTTCCAAACATATTTTTTTTCTTTTTGTTGACTGGATTGTCTCCACAATAGATGACGAGAGTGTAGTGGTACATTTCTACAACAAAGCACTAAAAAGCTTCTTTTGCTGAACTCACCGTTCTGCAGAGAACTCTGAGGGACAACAGCTATTTACCACACGCCGAACCTGAAGGAGAAAAAAGAAGATTATTAATAAAATGTGTGACATGTCAAAGGTCCTGGACACATTTCTGCTGCATCAGTCTCACACATATCTAAATAACTATTAAAAATACTGAGATATTACGGTGATGTTGTGTCCAGTTAAAACAAACAGCCCATTTGTCATCGTCGTGTTATGGACTATAGTGTCACGCACAGAGTGTATTACTTCTTAAAGAGAGCTGACGTGACTTCTTCTGAAGAGATGCTGGAAAATCATGCCGGAGCAGAAATGAAACAAATCAAGGTCAAGAATCTCTCCCGGCATCCAGCACAGTCACGGATCACCACGGCATGTGAAGAAACTGCCCGGCCACCATCCCTGACCCCGCCCCGGGCGGCTCGCTCGACTCTGACCAGCAGCGAGACACAGCACAGCAGCAACGAACAAACAGTGGCAAGAAACACGCAACACATCCGAGGAGACTTGTAAACAGGGAGCAGATGCTGAGCCGTTGTCCAATCGCATTAGTAACTGTTAGAGACAGAGAGGTGTCCCGAAAACAACAGGCAGAGTTGACACTAGAAAGGTTAGCATGGACTGAAAGTGAATGGCAGGCTTCTAAATGAATTAAAGTTACTCGTCTCACACTTCCCTGCAAACCTGTCCTTCAACAGTGACAAAGAGCGAAAAGAGCAAATGCCACAAAGTTTAAGAGTCAGTAACACATTTAACGCTGACACCAGGAAACGTGCATGAGGAATAATGCTCTCACACAAGTTCCATTAAATGTGTGTGTTAAGAGTAACACTGTGGCTGTTAACCTATAATCCACTTTATGAAATCACTGCAATATCATTTATACTTTACATAGTAGGGCTGCACGATTAATCGTTAGAAAATCGCAATCTCGATTCATACTTATGTGCGATCTCATTTCCAAATGACAACGATTTTTAAAAAAAAAGAGAGAGAAAAAAAAAAAAGACGACGACGACGATTGTACCGCATTTTGATCCGGGACGTAATCTGCATGAAAACAAGCGCTCACTCTTCCTGCTCAACAAATGACAAGGGCGGAGCCTTATACCACGTGATACAGAAGCTGGCTGCTAAAAAAACAACGGAGAGCACGTCAGGGATGACGAGAAAGTGACAGGAGAAAATCCGTCCCGGTCAACCACCCAAACATCAATAACGGGAACCTTATACAGCGCTTCCCTATACCCGTCGAACTCCCGCAGGCACAAAGAAATTACGGAGGCTATCACTTATCACCTGACCAAAGATATGGCTCCCATCAACACTGTGCAAAACGGGGGATTTAGGAAAATGATCAACATCCTAGACAAACGCTACACAGTGCCGTCCCGCAACTATTTTTCTATTGTTGCACTACCTGCTCTATACATGCAGCGTCGAGCAACGGTGGAGACGGAATTTCAAGCAGTACAACATTTGCGGCAACGACAAAACGTGAGACATTTGTTGTTTTTATGTTTATTTATTGTTTTTATGTTCAGTCTCAACTGTTACGAAGTTGATGTGCAGTTAATAAGTGCAATAAATATTTATACTGGAAAAGAAAATCGTGAGAGAATCGTGATCTCAATTCTGAGCCAAAAAATCGTGATTCTCATTTTATGCAAAATCGTGCAGCCCTATTACATAGTATATAAATTTGAATAATTGTGAACTGTATAGTCAAAATTACCGGTTACAAATGCAAACCAGCATTTCTTTGTAGCTGGAGCTTCACATTATGAGCATTCATTATTGTCAAATAATGAAGCAGTCGCAGGTACATCAAAATGTTTGTCACCGACTTCGTGTTTTTAATGTGTCTTTAAAACAAGACAGCCGTCATTTTTGCATTTTTTGACAGCAGATCAGTTTGAAATATCGCACAAGCGATGGAAGAAGAAGGAGCAGCCTAAGTTAGCTACTAGCTACAATCTGCACATCAGGCTAAACAACTTTCACTGCACACTGTTTGCAGACTAACACCATGTGCATGTGCAGGACCAGACAGCAGCTGCTCAGAGGCTGACGGGACACACCAATTATTAGTTTGTTCCGGTATCCCCAAATTTCTCTGACCTGATGGAATAAAATATATTTGCTGTCACCAGCAAACCTATGTTTACTTATTGTCAAATCAATAACACCCAACAAACCAGTTACACAATGAAACATGAACTATTAGCTGTGCATTTAAAAAAGACTAGCTGGGTCTGTATTGTGGACCACGTGGTATCTGCTGGGCATACGTGCAACTCAGTCTATGTGTGTCATACTCATATCTGTATTCAACACAGTCGCCAGGATGCATTAAATCTCTCTGAGCTTCCTCAAGGAGCCATCTTCCTCCAAATTACACTCAGTTTCCTCCTCCTAGGTTCTGTGCACCACCACAGACTTCCTTAGTTCAAGAGCTAGAACAAAAGAATAGCATTAGCTGTTTAGGAACTGCAGCATTTTTTATACACGCCCTCGTTTTCAGAAGCTCAAAAGTAATTGGACAAACTACTTTTATATACTCGGATGAAAATCCTTTGCAGACAATGACTGCCTGAGGTTTAAAACCCATGGAAATCATCAAATGCTGTGTTTCCTCCCCTGAGATGCTCTGCCAGGCCTTTACTGCCGCCTTCAGTTGCTGCTTGTTTGTGGGTGTTTTTGTGGGTCTTTGTGCTTTCACTTTTTGTCTTCAGTAACTGAAAAGCCTGCTCTGTTGGGTTGAGATCAGGTGAATGATTTGGTCACTGAAGATTCTCCCTTGAGAAACTCCTCAGTTTTGTAGCATTTGGATGAATCTGTGCAGAGACTACAGCCTCGTAAGTAACGTTTACAGGGAGTGCAGAATTATTAGGCAAGTTGTATTTTTGAGGAATAATTTTATTTTCGAACAACAACCATGTTCTCAATGAACCCAAAAATCTCATTAATATCAAAGCTGAATGTTTTTGGAAGTAGTTTTTAGTTTGTTTTTAGTTTGAGCTATTTTAGGGGGATATCTGTGTGTGCAGGTGACTATTACTGTGCATAATTATTAGGCAACTTAACAAAAAACAAATATATACCCATTTCAATTATTTATTTTTACCAGTGACACCAATATAACATCTCCACATTCACAAATATACATTTCTGACATTCAAAAACAAAACAAAAACAAATCAGCGACCAATATAGCCACCTTTCTTTGCAAGGACACTCAAAAGCCTGCCATCCATGGATTCTGTCAGTGTTTTGATCTGTTCACCATCAACATTGCGTGCAGCAGCAACCACAGCCTCCCAGACACTGTTCAGAGAGGTGTACTGTTTTCCCTCCTTGTAAATCTCACATTTGATGATGGACCACAGGTTCTCAATGGGGTTCAGATCAGGTGAACAAGGAGGCCATGTCATTAGTTTTTCTTCTTTTATACCCTTTCTTGCCAGCCACGCTGTGGAGTACTTGGACGCGTGTGATGGAGCATTGTCCTGCATGAAAATCATGTTTTTCTTGAAGGATGCAGACTTCTTCCTGTACCACTGCTTGAAGAAGGTGTCTTCCAGAAACTGGCAGTAGGACTGGGAGTTGAGCTTGACTCCATCCTCAACCCGAAAAGGCCCCACAAGCTCATCTTTGATGATACCAGCCCAAACCAGTACTCCACCTCCACCTTGCTGGCGTCTGAGTGGGACTGGAGCTCTCTGCCCTTTACCAATCCAGCCACGGGCCCATCCATCTGGCCCATCAAGACTCACTCTCATTTCATCAGTCCATAAAACCTTAGAAAAACCAGTCTTGAGATATTTCTTGGCCCAGTCTTGACGTTTCAGCTTTTGTGTCTTGTTCAGTGGTGGTCGTCTTTCAGCCTTTCTTACCTTGGCCATGTCTCTGAGTATTGCACACCTTGTGCTTTTGGGCACTCCAGTGATGTTGCAGCTCTGAAATATGGCCAAACTGGTGGCAAGTGGCATCTTGGCAGCTGCACGCTTGACTTTTCTCAGTTCATGGGCAGTTATTTGGCGCCTTGGTTTTTCCACACGCTTCTTGCGACCCTGTTGACTATTTTGAATGAAACGCTTGATAGTTTGATGATCACGCTTCAGAAGCTTTGCAATTTTGAGACTGCTGCATCCCTCTGCAAGATATCTCACTATTTTTGACTTTTCTGAGCCTGTCAAGTCCTTCTTTTGACCCATTTTGCCAAAGGAAAGGACGTTGGCTAATAATTATGCACACCTGATATAGGGTGTTGATGTCATTAGACCACACCCCTTCTCATTACAGAGATGCACATCACCTAATATGCTTAATTGGTAGTAGGCTTTCGAGCCTATACAGCTTGGAGTAAGACAACATGCATGAAGAGGATGATGTGGACAAAATACTCATTTGTCTAATAATTCTGCACTCCCTGTATTTACGAAGGGCCTGACACAGACCAGTGGTCACATTAAATAATATTAAATGCCATTAAAACAGCACATAAACAAGTTAAAATACAGAATAAATTAGACCAGTAAAATTATCAACAAAAAGGTTTTGAATCCAGAGAGTTTGCTGTAACTGTAACACCCATCTTCAATCCGTGTACACTTTAGTATTCATCCCGCTGCTCCAATCTCCAGTCACATCATCAATAAACATGTGGTGTCCCGGTTCCGCTGCAAAGCCGTGCATGACCATGCTGTAACATTTCCTTCACCGTATTTGATGGATAATGTGTTAAGCTTTGGATCAGGAGCCTTTCCACCCCACAAACTGCAGAACTTTCTGTCTAGGAGAAAACATGCGATCAACAAAAAATATGTCTTACATATTTAATTCTCCATTTCACACACCTCGTGAAATATTGGGTTGACGCTCAAGTCCCTGAAGGTCAGTGAAATACATTCTTCTCTATCACGAAATCAAACACCACGCCATTCTATGTCATGCCTATTCAATACACCCTGAATCAAATACTCCTCGTGCTCTCCATATTTCCAAAAACATGTCTAACTTCTATCTGGTCCTCAGAACCCCGT